GGCGAAGCCTAAGGCCACACTCTTTATTCTGCTTGCAACTGTGAAGCAGCCAAAGGGAAGCCTAAAGCTTCAAATCACGCCTCCTTCCTCTTGTTTACCTTTGTTTGGGATTTAAATAACAACATGGCCTGAGGCCATGCTAGCATTGTCTTATGGACAGGTTATTTCTTAAAGAATTTTTTGATAAACCAAGAAACAAATCCAAAAAGTTTAGCAATAAAAATAAACTAAAAGGGTGGAAATGAAAAAGAAACAAATGTTATGTACATACTTCAAACAAAGAGTTTAAGGTCAGAGTGACTTATCTTGCTTGAAGCTGGAACGTGTGCTGGACCTTGAATGGCTGCCCCGGGTGCTTCTGGATTCGAAGGGAAGAAACAAGGTTTATGCTTCTATTACTAGATTCGAAGGTCGGGAGATGCGAGGGATAGTTTCATATTCGAAAGAGAAAAATAAAACATGTGATGTGTTTCTTTAGATTCGAAGGGCCAAGGAAACAGGTGTGGTGTTTCTTTTGTATTCGAAGGTTCAAGAAAACAAATGTTGTGTTTCTTCTAGATTCTGGGTTTTGTGTTTGAGAATCTTAAGAGTTTCAGAGTTTTTGAGAGTTTTGATGATTTTTTTGAAGATTCGTTCCACCACCCAAAGTTCCCTTTAGCTTGCAAATGTTTCTCTATTTATAAAGAAAAGGTTGAAGGTCTTTGAAGTAACCAGGTTTGTAGGATAACAAACCATGGTTTGGTTGAAAATGAAACAAGTTTAGTCATGTTTCGTTGTTCCCACGTTGACAGTACAAGTGGGGGCCTACTGTCTGTTAGGAGCAGGAGATTGGACGTATGCCTTTGGCACTGCTTTCATTCAGACACAAATAAGATTGGGAGCTGATTTTGTGATTAAAGTACTCTTTATGAAAAAAGGGTACATAGCCTTTTGCTATTTTATGCAAGAATGGTATTATCCAGTAGACAAAGCTTCAAACCTTTGTGTAAGCCTCTGATTATATAAAGATTTGGAAGCAACATAGCCTGACAAGTAGGATTTAAAGGGTAAGGCTATGATATTTGCTCAAAGTTATTCAAACAAACTTGCTTCGAAGGGTCCAGAGTTGGGTTTGAAATATGCTAATTCGAATGGAATCAAAACTCCAATCGAAGCCTTGTGTGAAGGTGGCTCTTGTCCAATCGAAGCCTTGTGTGAAGGTGGCTCTTGTCCAATCGAAGGCTTTCCTGCCAGAGGTCACATGGCCAAACGAAAGGGTGTATATAGGAGGTCCCTGTCTTGTGCCTGCTGGCATGAAGGAAATCCTGACTTTATGGTGTCAAAGGCAAACATGGAAAATCAACGGCTTCTGAGTCGAAGGAGAACTGCAAGAGGCCATGGCTTTGTGACTTCAAGCAAAAACGCAAGAGGTCTTTGCTCAAACAAAAGCTTGCATGAAGGGAGCCATATGCCTAAACGAAGGGTGTAACCAAAGCTTGCATTGAAGGGGGCCACACACCCAAATGAAAGAGGCATGCGAGGCTTGCATCAAAGGAGGGCTACATGCCCAAACGAAAGAGGCAAGAGGAAGCAAAAATTCCCAGACGAAAGAAGCATGCAGGAGGCAAATTATGCAATCGAAGGATGCCAAAAGGAGGTAAAAGGTGCAGTCGAAGGATATCAGCAGGAGGCATTTTTCCTTGGAATCGAAGGAGGCTACTTGAGGCTTTTTGCCTTATGCCTGCTGGCCTGGTGGGCGCCTCTTGCGTGCAAGAAGGAAGCTATGGCTCAATTAAAAGCTGTATGCAGCTAGCCATCACATTATGAATCAAAGCAAGCATGAAGGGAATTATTTGTCTAATCAACATAGGCATGCAGGCATCAAACGTCCAATTGAAGCAGGCATATAGGCAGTCATTGCATTATTATGAACCATGTTAGGCCAAAGATACAATCGAAGGTTGCATGTAGGAAGCTCCTGCCTTGTGAATTAAAGCCAGCGTGTCAGAGGCTAATGCCCAATCAAAGGACGCAAGCCAAGCTTGCATCGAAGAAGGCCAAAAGTCCAATCGAAGGATATGAATCGAAGAAGACTTGCTTTTTCTCCAATTTTGTCAAAAAGATTATTTTTATCCGTTTCCCCCTTTTTAACAGTTTCCTCTCTAACTTGATGCTGGAAAATCCAATTGTACTTGTGCAAGCTTGAATTTTGAGAATCCCTGTGAGAAATGCCTTGAGAAATGAGAGGGAAAATTTTGGGGTACAACACCAAGCATTAAACACCTTTTGATTTATTTGAAAGCTTCAATTAACTTGAATGAATGCTATCAAACAATGTATCCAAATCTCTCCATTTCTTCAAAACAAATCCTATCTTAAAATCTCAAGAAACCAAATACTTGAATTACAAACAATGAAATTGTCTTGACCAAAGTAAAACCACAAGCTCATATCTTGTATCATGGTCTACATTCACTCCTCTTTGAAAATGATGCCTTTAGATGATTGTCAATAAAAAATAAACCAGAAGATGAGCAAACCTCGATCTCAAATCCAAATTTGGATAAATTTATTCATAAGCAAACAACGTATCATCAAAGAGTCCTCAAACTCAACATCTTTTATCATGAATCAAAACCTTAATTCAAGATAAACTCAAACGTAACCCTTAATATTGCGCAATCATTTAAGCATGAACCTTGATCTCAAATAAGTGTCACACCTTCGAAAGTCAAAACCCTAGCTCAACACCAAAGGACAGGAGAAACACTTGCAGACTTAAACCCTTGATGAGTCAATTGACATGTCTTAAAGCCTGAGAAGCCTTGAACAGTTGAAAAACCTTAGGAGAATATCTTAAAGAAAAGGGAGGGAAAATTTTGGGGTACAACACTAATGAACTGGCCCGAAGAGGACTTCGGTTAATTGAGCCAGATAATACCAATATATACCACTGGGTGGCTGCCAAAATGGTAGGGATTCATTCCACTTTGAATATTGTCTAGACTATAACTAATGCTGACATTATGGTTGGAAACTCATTAGATTGGTTGATTTATCTTGTAGGTCCAACGAAGAGAATATGCAACTCTTTCGAGGTTTGCTTGGTTCCTTTGTACGAATATCTTTTTACCAGGTTAAGGATATGTCTCCCCCTTTCTAATTTTGAGGTAGCTATTATGAATCGTATTAGGGCTTCCCCATCATAACTCCCTCTGGATCTATGGCTTATATGAAGGTGTTCCAACTTTGTGTCGAGCGTAAATCTTGAAAACCTTCTTTGGAGCTCTTTTTATATCTTTTATGCGGGCCACACCTCCTAGGATGATTCCCAGGATCATGGATTGATATTTCTCCGCTTCCATGTCTCTTGGTTTAATTCTTTTACCAATGACTAGGGTGAATTCCTTAGGCGTTTCATGCTAGTGAGACTTATTTCTCCAGTGGCTCATTTTGCTTACTCCCTTCAATGCTTCTACTCACGATCTTTGTTGAATTAGTATTACTTGCATCTTCCTCTTATATAATTGGAAGTTGTTGCCTTCAAAAAACTTCTCGATCTTTCAACTAGAATTCAGTGTGCTCACTTGTAAACTTAACTACTTTGTCTCACGATGGATGTCACTTGTTGTGAAAAACTGATAATGATTCAAAGTTCAAACACACAAAGACTTTGATGTGTGGGACAAATAACAATAAAAAACAATCAAATAACTTCAGAGAAATAAAAATATAATACGCGAGAATAAACAAAAAATTGTTTACCTAGTTTGACAAAACTGATCTACATCTGGGAGAGGTGGTAGCTCTCGAGTTTACTATACTCCAAAGTTATTACAATAGATTATAATATGAGTTACAAGAAAATAGTATTTGGAGTTTCCAAATTAAACTCTATTTTCAACCCAAATATTTCTCAATCTCTCCAACTCTCAAAGTAATAATCACACAAATCTAAAGCGTTTAAAGTGTTTTCCAAATCTCGTTGATAATCCCAAAAGGTTGTAAAACCCCAAGAATATAATCTTAGGAATTTCTTCCATTTGCTTCTCACTAGAATTTCTATCTTAAGCACATAAGATTTTTCAACAAATGAGAGAGAACCATATTTATAACTACGAAAATCTTAATGGATCCAAGATATGATCCATTAAAAAACTAATCTATGAACCGATCAAGTCAGGTCTAAAAATTGTTTGGTCTGTCACTTCCACGGGATGGCTAAATTCCTCCTCCCTCCAGCCCACCGTTGTCACCGAATAGAAATAACATTTTAGTCGTCGTCGGGTCCATCGTGCCACGCCATTTCTGCTCTAGAAAAATATAGTAGTACTAAAACATGATTTTTTCCTTATATATATATGTATGTATGTATGTATATATATATATATATATATATATATATATATATATATATATATATATATATATATATATATATATATATATATATATATATATATATATATATATATAGTTTTTTAATAATGATTTTATTATATATATAACAGTTTTTTAATAATACTTTTATTTTATACATAAATAATTGCACATATATTTTTTATTTGAATAATTTTATTTTATACATAAATAATTGCACATATATTATTTATTTGAATAATTTTATTTTATACATAAGTAAGTAGTAAGAATAAAGTTAATAGAGAAGTAATTCACGCGTTTGTACCAAAAAAGAAGAAGTAATTCATGTGTAATACAAGACTTGAATGCACAACATCTCCCACTTTAGCCGACTTCCCTTTATCATTTATTAATCACAACCGTCCAATGTTACCAACTCATATTTTACCATTTTTGTGCATGGCAGTAAACGTGAGCAACATGAACCTTGTAAGTAATTATTGGTCTAGACGCCTTTACAACCTTGAAATGCAAGGAGCGCATGGAAAAGGTGCATTCCTCATGACTAGTAAACTCGTTACTCTCACTTTCCCTCAAAGTTTAAATTACCAGTGACACACTACTATGGTATTATTCTCATTCATTCTCACTTCAACACAATGATATCTGACAATGAAACTCCGACGATGAAGAATCGAAGGAAGCCAACATGGAGGGAGAAAGAGAATAATAAAATGAGAGAAAGAAAAAGGAGAGCCATTACAACAAATATATTCAATGGACTTCGAACTCAAGGGAACTACAATTTGTCAAAAAATTGTGACACCAATGAGGTCCTCAAAGCTCTCTGCAACGAAGCTGGTTGGGAAGTTGAACAAGATGGAACCACCTATCGCAAGGTAACTCATACAATTTCGCCCTTTCTTTCTTAATGGGTTACTATGCATCTAATTATTTATCCATTTATACCACATTTTCATTTGTCTAACTTAAATATCTAATCTTCTGGTTTCTATATAATTATGAGTATGATAATTTCCTATGTAGATAGATTCCTTAAAAAAATCATGTGTTATGTTCATTTTCTCATTTTATAAAAGACGAATCAACCTTTATTTGATAGATCTTTGAATCGTATATTTTTCAGAATTATATATATATATATATATATATATATATATATATATATATATATATATATATATATATATATATATATATATATATATATATATATATATATATATATATATATATATATATATATATATATATATATATATATATATATATATATATATATATAAGGAGAAGACAAAAATTGCCTAAGAGTACAAAAAACAAAGGATCAGAGGTACCAAAATTACCAACAAGCCTAACCATTACCACCAAAAAAAAGAGAGGTACCAGTAAAGACCACATCATTATGCAATTTCCAAATCGACCTGATTACTGTATGCCAAATTAGAAGAAAAAAATCATGTCTAGTCTTAGAAACCTCACACAAGAAAAATAACAACTCAAAAAGTGAAAGGAGATCATTATAAAGAACTAAACACCTCCTTATTCATCTAAAGATTTTATGTCATTGTGTTGTCTTTAACTCACAAGTACTAAATAAATGGGAACTAAACTCATCATCTCTCATACATAGGACACCTAACACCTTTAAGAGCCATATTAACCCACTATTTAAAAAGACTAAACTTGGTAGGTGTCATATCCTACAAGAGTTTCCAAGAAATCACCATCACTTTAGAAGGCGCCCAACTACCCCAAATAAGTGGTAACGTTGACCCCACTCTCGAAGAAGGGTATGTAGAAGATAAGGCTCGATCAATAATAGAAGAATAAGTCGAAAGAACTAAAAGCACGTCATTTTTGGCATGTATCCACCATCGTTGGTCAAGATATTGAGGTGGGAGAACATCTAACTAAGTGAAAGAGATTGTTGACCATTTATTGCTTTTACTAAAAAAGAGACCTCCTCCCTCTAAGGTCCTAGTGAAGCAACTCATCCACCAAGACCTCAACCTCAACAATAGACTTATCAACCAAACTGGAGACAATATAAAGCATAGGAAACCTAACCCTAAAAGGAGTATACCCTACCCAATGGTCGTCTCAAAAAGAGGTTTGGTAGTTGTTATCGACTTTCTTATAAAGGCCATCCACAAACTAACCAGTTTAATCATCTACATTCAAACCCAATAAAGACATATCTTTCCACTATATGGAATACAACCAAGTATAGGCATATCGACCTCCCAAGAAATATTAGACACTAATGGATCCATATTTGGCAGATACGATATCTGCCCATAGAAACGTTGATCCCAAAACCATCCTTCATCTCCATTTACTTAATAAAGCTAAGTTGACTAAATAAAGATTTAAGACCCCTAACTCATTTCACTCTTTGAGTTTTCCCACATCAAACCAACTAACCTAAGAAATCTTATAATCTCCTTTAACCCTACGCCACAAAAATATCATTTGAATCCCAACTAAATTCTTTTAAACCTTAAGAGGAAATTTAAGGAAGAATAAAAAAATTGGGATTTAATTAAGAACCAAATTAAGTAGAATCATTTTTTCTCCCATACTAACATACTTGTGCCTCCAAGAGTGCAACCGCCTAGAGACAAGATTTAAAGGGAGTTTCCAAATTGTCTCAAGGCAAGTATTAACCCATACCAGTAAACAAATATACTAAAGGAAAAGACACTAGATAACAATAAAGAAAGTAGCCTTCCAAACCTATGAACTTAGAATCCGTATTAACTCTAATAGGATGACTCTTAGCAATGTTGACTCGAAGACCCAATGTAAAGTCAAATCCACGAATAATGGCCTTAATTCAATTATATATTGTTAATCATACCCTTAGCTAAAATAGTGTTAGGTGCATACTAAATATGAGAGATGACAAGGTTAGAGGTGTCCACCCTAATACTAGAATAAATTTTTAATATCCATTACCTTTATAAATAAACCACTCAAATCCTTTGCCATGAACAAAAACAGAAAAGAAGCTTAAGGGCCACCATGTTTCAACCCCATTTGAATACTAATCTCACTAGTCAGACATATATTAGCTAACACATCATGATTACCAACAAACACACATGCTCTAATCCAAGATCTTTACTTATCACATAAAACAAACCTACTAAGCATATAGTCCATAAAACTCCAACTTACTGTATCATACGCTTTCTCAAAATCCACCTTAAAATAATATTGGATTTTTTAATTATTTTTATCCATGTCCACCAACTCATCAAGAATAACCACCCCATAAAAAAAGAGTGCCCTCTTGAAGAATTCAGATTAATTAAAGGATGCCAACTTATCCATCACGATAGCTAGTCTTGATGCCAACACTATGGAAACACACTTATAAAGAAAACTCACTAAAGTAATAGATAAAAAATCCCCCAAATGAGTATGAGATTTGACTTTAGGGATCATGGTAATATAATACAAGCTAGTGAGCATACAATCAAGCATAGACTAACACTTATCATTACAAAGCTCAAAAATAATTCATAGTTATGCTAACAGACTGGGATCAGTTAGTTACATAGATATCAAAAGTTAGTTACACTTTTATGCTTGTTACTTAGCTCTCCATGTTTATCTTTAATATTACTTGTGTTTGAAGTAATTTCTTTACCTTATAGTGTTATTCCTATAAAAAATTTATTGTGTTTGAATTGTAGTCTCAAATTGGATTATAATTAAACAATTTTTTTTCTGAACATAGTAGTCTCTTTCATCAATATTTGAACATTTTTAAGTAATAGTCTAACCCATTTATCCTTCAACACTATTATTTATAGATTTTTTAATTCTCTATATACTAGAAAAATTTGATTGAAATTATGTGTTTCGTAGAAGTTGAATATGAATACCAAATTCAACTTATATTGAAGATATAATCTTGCTAAATTATCCAAAAGAAGATTGAAAAGTCGATGGCTAATATCGTCAAGGAATTGACATATAAAATATTAAACATGTTGAGTTTGATTTTACTCCCTTATTTGCAATATTAGTATGCATATTATAAGTAATATTTGATTGAATTTTCCGTTTTTTTGAAAATAGGGTAATTGCAAGGCTCCATTATACAATGATGCAGACACTTCCAACGGAACTATCCCTTTTACTCACTCACAAAATCCAACTGTTGTGATGATGTCAAGCAATACCCTTGTGACACCTTCTCTCTACTCATCAACATCAAGAAACACAAAATCAATTCCAACACGAGGTTCTATATCCAAAGAACTTATGCCCGTTACTGATTACTCTTTTGTTGCTCCTTATACCCTAGATAGCCCTAAAAACCAAAACATTCATACCCCAATTAAGTTCCAACCTTTTGCACAAACTCCATCCAAGGTGCCAACTACTTCATCCGTCAAAATATTTGGGGTTCAAGTACAACCTAGGACTGGAAAAGAAAATCATGATGAGAGGTTGGATGATTTGGAACTCACACTTGGAACTGGGAAAGGAAGGAATTAGGCTGCTATGGAAGCTTTACATGATATGAGTTATATGATAATCAGATAACAAGATTGTGTTTGGTCGTTTTGGTTATTTGTTCATCTTGTTTTGGGTATGTTTTTTTTACTTATATCATGGATGGTTTATTTCTGTTTGTGGATTGTTTTCACTTTGCTTCCTTTTTTGTTTTTCTTAAATGGTGTTATGTGTGCTATCCTATCATAGTTTATAGTGGCAAATACAAGATTCCTTTTATATTATGTTGTGGTTGATTTTGCGATAAAAAATTGATTTTGATTGAATTGATTTTAGTTTAAAGTAAATTAATAAAAAATAATATTTTGAATAACATAAAATTGTATAATATTAACTCTTTTAATATAGAAGTATTTTTGTCTTTTAAAAAATAATTACATTTCTATTCTCTTTTATTTATCTCATACTTCTTTTATAACAAGTATATTAATAGCATGTTTGGATTAATTTTTAGAAGATCAAATCAATTCTGAAGGTGTAGATTTGATTCTGGGTGATTTTGATGTATTTGTTTTATCAAAAGTAGAATTGATTCTACCTCTAAAATTGATTCTACTTGAAGGTAAAATTTGTAGCTTCTATCTCCATAATTGATTCTGAGTGATTTTTATATTGGAATTTATTGTTCAACTCACTTTTACATAAATATATCCAAACATAAATAAATTCTACGAAACTCAATTCTATTATAATCAATTATATTCACCATCAATCCAAATACACTGTAAATCTATTATATTTCTCACTTCTTTTTCTCTTCTCAAATTCTTTCTCAAACCTTTCTTTTTCATTTTTATCTCACAACCAATCACACTTTAGAAAAATCAAACATGTCAAAATCAATACTGTATCTTTTGTAGTTACATTTGTATCTCCCTTACCCCATAGAGTCAACTTACACTAAGATTCTATTTGGCAAAACAATATTTTGAACATATAGCTTGTGGTTAGCTTATAATTCGTACCTTTAAAAGAATTTGTTCCATAAACATTATTTTATTTTTTTACAAAATTGTAGGTTATTTTTACTAATTTACAAATTTTTATAAGCTAATTCAAGTAGCTTATACATTCTCACCCCCTCTCTTAACTTAATTGAAAATAATAAAAAGTATTTTTTTAATACCATTTTACAAGTATAAGTGAATAAAAATGTAAATTTTATTAAATATTATAAATTCAATCGATTAATTAGTTATTTGCTATTAGACATTGAATAACTTAATATTTATCAATTATAAGTTTATTAAATTTGTGCAAGAATAGAATAGGTTGAAAACTTTAAACTAAGATCGAGACGAAAATAAAACGAAAACAAATAGATAAATATATTGATTTTAACGAATCTCCTATTTAAGAATCAATTGTTCGCATTTCTGTTGTGTTATCAGAAACTGTCAATCATATTTTAAATCAAAATAGTACTGAATACTTCGACTACAATGAGAAGCTTCGCGTCCTCGCCGCTTCTTTTTGAAGACTAGCTTATCAAGTGGTTGACTTGATAAGCAAGTTACCTTCAACATCATCATCAGTAAAATCTCTATCAATAATACACCAGAATAGTAGAGAAGGAGGTCCCCTACTTCAATGGAAATGGGAGAATCACCCTTTCACAACCGCTCATTAAAAGCAAATTTATTTACCATCAAATTTTTTATATAAAAAAGAACCAAATATTAGTATGGTGAAAATTTTGCATACTCTTTATATTTTGCCTCCTATCCTCACAAACAATTTGAGTTACTTCAACCTGATAAATACATAATAATTTTTAATAACTTCCAATAAATTCAAAATTTTAACTTTGTTTTTGAGTTTTTAACTTTTCAAAATAGATTTAAAGAAACTCAAAATTTAGATAAATGAAAATATATAGATGTGTCTTATCAATGTGTTGGACTATATATACTGTTACTAATAAAAAAATAAAAATTAAGAAAAAGTTTACACAATAATATTAATGTAGTACTTTTATAAAAAAATAGAGCCGGTCTGGTCAAAAAGATAAAGTAGTTTTTTAAAGATTTTTTTTTTAATCCGACCCATGTTAAAATATGAGATTTGCAAGACTATTTGTAATGAGGGGGTTGAATAAATTTTTTTAATAGTTGAATTGTTTCAATGGAGTGTTGAATAAAGTGTTGAATGTGACATATATTAATTTGTGTTGAAAATATTCAATATGTTGAAAGAGATGAGTGAGAATCACTTATGATACTTTGCAAAATATAATTGGTTGTTGTGATTTGTTATATTTTTATCTCACCTGAATTATTTGAAGTCAATTATTTTATAGAAAGTCAATTTTTTATTTTTTTTATTTTCACTAAAATTCATCATTTTTTTTGGGTCTATAAATAGAGCCTTGGTTCATTTGATTTGTACAAAGGAAAAAAAAATCTATTTTTTCTCTCTAATTTTTCTATTTAGCCTCCAATAAATTATTGTTTGTAGCTTTAATTTTATTTCAATTGATAATTATTATTAACATATAATAAAAAAAAACAAAAACATAAAAAAGAAAATAAAAATATGAAATAAAGTGGTGGGGTAAGGTGTTGAATTTTATTAACCATTATAGTGACTAAAAGTTGAATGAGTGTTGAATTATTAGGTGGAAGAGAGAGAAGATGATGTTGAGTGTAAAAAATGAAAAAAATAGGTGTTGAATAATTTTACCATTGTAGATAGTCTAAGTCGGCCAAATAAATCGGATTCATTTTAATAGCTCTAGGTACAAGTTTTAACATTATTCTTAATAAAGAAAAACAAATTTTATTTGCAATTTTTTATGTGTGCTTTATACAATTTTTTATTTATATAAAAGTATGTCAAATATATTTAAATATTATTTAGAAAATAGAAATAAGAAAAAATTATATATATCTAAGAGAAAATTATATCATTATCATATTTTTATTAAAAATTAAAAATTATATTTAAATTTTCTCTTACTCTAAATTATATTATTCTTAATAAGTTTATGAATCTTTGAAACAAATATATTAATTTAATAATTCCGTAATCAAACTCACATAAGCATTTTTTAATTAAAAAAATTAGTTGTATATATAAAAAATAGAGAAAAAAGAATATACACATATTTTTACACTGTCAATTAATTTTTACACTATCAATTAATCACAAATTTGAATTCTATCAAATCATACTTTTAATTTTAAAATACTGATATGAACATGACATGACTGAATGATATAATACACATTTAATCTCTAAACAAAATATAATATAATTTTAATTTTTGTGTGTGTGGGTAGAAACCAATTATTTATTAACATGCATTTACGATGTTTGTATCGTTTTTCTACTAACCCTCGTGTTGGGTTCGTTTGATCCTCCATTTCAAAGCAGCCATGGATTCATAACCTCTTACTCTGTCATCGAACCCCAAACCAAACCTACCACCACCTACTAATGTCGATATTCCCTCCAAACCAAAACAACGAGACTTATTAACCCATCTCAAAGAATACCCCGCCAAACATGACGACATCGACAAGCTTCTCAAGATTTTCCATTGTGTCACGAAGTTGATCGTCACTTCCTCAGTTCTACCTTCGAACCCGAACCTCTCCCTCTGTCTCAAAAGCTTCGAATGTAGCGTCGGCATGAGTAAAAAAGCTTTCTAATTAGGAAATTTCGTTCAAGACCTCAACGCGCTTCGTAATGCACACGTTATTGAGAATCATGTGTGAGGAAGAAGTCTCACATTGATTAGAAAAAGGAATATAGAACACTTTATAAGTGAGAGAATTCGCACACATATCATCTTAAGTTTTTGAGTGAATATGTGATGTGTCTCTCACAAAAAGGTGAGTCCCAAGTGTAAAATGCTCCCTCCTCGGAATTTCCCCTAACAGTGGTATCACAAGCCTTTGGTTTCGAGTGAAAGGACTGACTTATTTGTATTGAAACACTTCCTGTAGGTGGTGGATAGAAGGTGTTCCATTGAAGAGTATCAACGGGGATGCAAGTGTATGTGGAAGAGAGATCTTCCACATGAAAGGGAGCATTGTTCATAGACTCACACTTGAGTGAGAGTATTGAGAATCAAGTGTGAGGAAGAAGTGTCACATTGATTAGAAAAGAGAAGATTGAACACTTTATAAGTGAGAGAATCCACACACTTATCACCTTAAGGTTTTAGGCGAATATGTGGTGTGTCTCTCACAAAAAGGTGTGTCATAAGTGTAAAATGCTCCCTCCTCAGAATTGCCCCCCTAACACACATGGCATGAAGGATTGAAGGATTATTTCTATGATGCATAGGTACGAGTATTGTACTCGGTGCGGGTACTAGTATCAATGCGAGATACATGATTTTTGAAAAAATCAAGGTACGAGTAAGTTAATAAAAAAATAAGTTTTCTATAAAATGTATGAGTAAAGAACTAAATTGTTAAGTTCATAACAGAGTATCACTATAAATATTTTAAGATAAAAAAATGTTAAGATATAATAATAAAGAAATTAAAATACACAAGTACACTGTTGATATTTGAGAAAGCCGCAAATTTTACTCAAAATTGAATAATGAGAAAAAATGAAGTACCACGAGTACGATACTTGTATCTGGTACGGGTGCATACCTGGTGCCGGCACTTCACCATTTTAGAAGTACCCATGATTTATGACTGATATGTGTTGTGCTTCATGTATTATGCATGGCCATCATGTAGATTGGAAGTGAAAAGAAGATGATTTGAAGTTTGGTGTGTCTTGGAGATGAAGACTTTGAGAATGAATGCTTTGAACATTATGGAATATGGATGTGGTTAACTTGTGAATATCCTATACAATAAGTTTAGGAAATGGTCAACAGAGTCAATCTTTTCATGATTGACCTGTTGGCCAAAAGTCAATGCTTTTTCTTTTGTTTCTTTTTCCACATTATAAGTTTGAATAAATTGTACAACAAGTAACCTTGAATCCAACTGTAAAACAATTTTTCCATCAAT